GGCCCCGGCTCACCTGGGCGCACCGCGCATCGTCCTCCTCCCCGGTCGACGGGGCCGGACTGCGCGAGCTCCACGCCCCCAGCCCCGGCGGTTTCCCCCCGGGCGCGACGACGGCGACGGCGACGGGGCGCAAGCGGGAGTGGGCGCCCAGGCGGCTGCCGGGGCCTCGCCCCTCGCGGCTGGCCGCAAGCGTCCCCCCACTGCCCGAGCGCTGCCCCGGGCCCGCGCCGGCTCCTGGGTGACCTTGGGCAAGTTGGTTAACCTCACGGAGTGCCCGTTTCCCCTCTGGGAAGGTAATATAAAAGCTGAAGGCGCTGGTGGTGCCCGTGCCAGGGGAAATCCTACCCCTGTATAGCTTACTTCCTTCTCATGCCTCTGACTCTGCCCGGGGCCGGGTTAGTTTGGGAGCAGGGTTCAGAGTGAGCTCTCTAGTCCCCGAGAGACAGGGCTCCCACGTTTTCCAGAGGCAGCCTTTCGTTGGCCTGAAATCTTCGTAAGGGATCCTGCCCATGTGTGTTAGTCCTCTCTTGGCTTCCCTGATCTGGGGGAGCCTGTTCTCCCAGCGCCGTCTACTGGTGACCTTGAGCACGCGATTAGACCCGGGCCAAGCCTCTGTGCTCGCATCTGTAAAATGGGAACCAGAAACGCACAAGCTGTGTTGAGACTTACCAGAGTTCCTGTCTGTGTCACTTAGTGCGTTGTTATTATCTGTGAGGAACTGAGATAGAATGCAACACATTTTTCCTCAACATATCTGACAAAGGCCTCAAACCCCAGGGACGAAACAATTGAAGGGTTAAACAAGCCATGCTGGGAAGGCGCAAAGAGGGTCTGCCTTTGGGGAGACAGGTGAGGGGGCCTCCCCGGGGGCACAATTCACCCCCACAAGGACCACTGAGGCTGCCTGGAAGCCTGACAAAACAGAGAAGCTGTGACAGTAATTAACCTCTGAAAGCAAATAAATCTTCCAAGACTCTCTCTTTTTTTAAAATTTTATTTTATTATGTTATGTTAGTTTAACTTACAATTGTGAGCACAACCCGAGTGAACCGGGAATTTAAATTAACCAACCTATTCATGCCAGAAACTTGAGCCGGTCCTTTTCGCAGCTTATCTCTCTGTTGATATGCCTCTCATTTCTCCCTTCTTTTGCCAGGCCCTGTCTGTCTTCCTCACGGTCTATATTTCTTCCCCATCTTAAATCCCGTACACTTTTTCTCTCTTCTTTCTCCCCTTTTCCATGTTGGTCTGTACATCTCTTCTTTACCTTCCTACCCCTTACTTCTCTCCCTCGCATGGATAAGTCTTGAATCTTTATTCATCTTACGTCCCCCATTCCCAATCGAATAGTGGAAAAGCTGTGAGTTAGTTCTCTAATGATAATAAGATCCGAACTTAAATTTATCACTATGCCACTGCCCTAAGCCAAATACTCTTGATAAATGACACCATTATCCTCACACTCATGGGAGCGTACAGCCTGAGTCATCTTGAACAACTGTACCTCTCTCTGTTCCTTTTCTCCCCACTCTCCACTCCACCACTCTCCAGTTCCCAGAGTCTGTCCCCACGGTGCCACAGGCGTCTGTCCTTTCTTCCTAGTCCCACTGGACTGAGTCAGATGTTTTTCTGGAGTCACAGAAAGGGCCTTCTACCTGGTGTCTGCCCTCCAGTCCATCCACCTTCCTGATATCAGCCAGCATGCTTTTCCTCAGGCAGATGCCAGTGGTGTCACTCCTGAGCGTTAAAAGCTAATGCTCGTGGAAGGCAGAAAGCTACTTCCCAAAGACAACCTTGTCCTAATCCCCAAAACCTGTGCATATGTTACCTCACGGGGCAAAAGGGACTTTGCAGATGTGATTAAGTTAAGGGGCTTCAGATGGGAGATTATCTCCGATTGTACAGGTGGGTCCTTAAAGTGTCCATAAAAGAAGAAGCGAGAGGCACAAGAGGAGGTCAGAGTGATGCGCTGAGAAGGACTTGACCAGCAGTTACTGGCCTTCAAGATGGAAGAAAGCACCCCAAGACAAGGAATGCACATGGCCCCTAGATGCTGGGGAAGGCAAGGAAACAGATGCTCCCTTAAAGTCTCCAGAAAGAAAGGCAGCCCTGCAGACACCTTGATTTTAGTGCAATGAGATTCATGTCAGAATTCTGAGCTGGAGAAGTATAGGATGACAATAAATTTGTGTTGTTTTAATCCACTAAGTACCTTGTTGCATTAGCAACCGCTAACTAATCACAATGCATCTCTTTTATTTCTGAAGGTACACGCCAATGCCTTATCTTGCTATTAACAGCAATCCTACTTTCAGCCGCCTTGCTCTACTCAAAACCTTGGGTTTTAAGGGGTCTGACTGTTCCCTGTAAACCTTCTCTTCCGTCATCTGTACTGGCGCGCGATGTCCTCTCCAGAGTGTCCTCCTCCAGACATTGTCAGCCCTAACACTTTGCGGTGTGCGTGGGTTCCATGGAACTGACCCTGATCTCTCCCTTCTTTGAATCTCCAGGACTTCGTATTTTTCCAGGTACATCCCATTTCAAATGGTGCTTCCTAATGGGAGAGAAGGGAACAAGACTGAGGACAGGACTCCAGATGCCCAGGTTGATACTGCTCCTGACTCTCTGTTCCCACAACACTGTGTTCATCTCTCTACTGTAGCAGTTACCACCACACTGTGCTGTTCGCAAGTTATTTGTGGGTCTGCATGGCACACTGGATGGTGAGTGCCTCCAAGGTGGAGACTGGGTCTTACCTCCCTTTCTGTGTCCCAGCCCCTAGCACCAGGCCAGGCACGTGGTCGGGACTCGATGACTGCTTTGAACGGCTGGATGAAGAAAGCAAGTGCAGTGTCTGATTGTGTCGAGCAGACAGGCTATTAATAAATATTTCTTGCACCGTCTGTCTCTGTTTAGTTGGGGTGATCAACAGAAACACCTCAGTTAGTGCAATGTGGTTTTAAATGGGGTACACTCGTGCATGGCTTGAACTGTAGACTTTATTTTATGTTTGTTTGCTTCTGTTTTTGTTTTGCTTTTGCTGAAAAAGAGTCCCACAATAAAAGGGCTATTCTTTTTTTTTAAAATCAGCCCTATTTAAAAAGGGCTATTATTTCAAGTAAAATCATTATAAACATGCAAACTCTTTGGCCCAGAAATTCTACTTCTTTAAATGTGTCCTAAGGGTAGTAAGTCTACGTACACAAAGATTTACCTAAGAGGATGTTCACTGCAGCAGGTCCTAACAATAGGAGATTAGCTAAATATATTATCTCTACCATGAGATAGCATTCGGGTATTAAACATGATTTTTGTCAATTGATATTTATTCTATAGAAAGATTTGTGTGAATATTTTTACATTCTTTATTATGCTTATCTGTATTTTCTAACTACCATACAACAAGCGTATATTTAGAAGTTAGGTTCAATAATTTTTAAAACTAGCTTTGCCTCCAGAAGGGAAGTTATATAAAACTTCAGTATTCTTCCAAGTTCCAAGAAAACCTATCTACAGATGAGCTTCAATTCTCTGATTACGATAAAAGAAAAGTCACAAAAGCCTTGAAATACAGCCTGATCTGTCTTCATTCCATTAATCCATTCACTCCAGGAACATTTATTGTATCATCTCAATTAAGGCCTTTGGTATCAAGCAACAGAGAAGGACGTTAGCTAACTTAAGCAAAAGGGAAATTATCGGAATACTGCTTAAAGACTTACATAATCCCCGAGATGCTAGGAGCCAGGCTTGGAGAAGCAGTTACCCAGAGAGCTCCAGAAAACCAAAATGCAGAAAGTGCAGCAACTTTGTCACAGAGAAACTCTGTCAGGATGGTGAGCCATCCCTCCTGACACAGGGAACGGCCTCCAGCAGTCTCCATCCTTGGGCCACTTACCTAAGGTCAGAGTCACTGGAATATACACCAGATTGGCCGAAACTAGCTTTGTGTCTCCTCTCTCACCCATTCTGAATCAGAGATGAAGGAGGGAAAGCATCAGGCCGCTCCATCAAGACTGCATGCTATGGGGGAAATTTTATTTCCCCAGTAAATTTGGGGTGCCATTAGGAAGGTAGAAGGGAAGCTGGCAGCATGAAAATAATAAATGGCCACTGCAAGCCCCTGCAATGTGCCAGGTATCAGGCTGTTCCAGCACGCAGGCCCGATTTCTCTGCCAGGAACCCCCCAGTATGAATAGTTCAGAGGAGCTACCAGGCCCAACACACCACTCAGAGGAGATGAAGAAGTCCTTGATTCCATTATGACATTTATAAACTTGAAACATGTTCAGGGTTTCTTTGGCTAATTTCTTCCAGTCTGCAGAAACAAATACGTACTATTTTTCTCTTCTGGTTGTCTGCACTTGGCTTGTGTGGTACAAACGTCCTCTTATGTACTTACTGCCCAACACCCTGCCATGGAGTGAATACTTTATCAGCACCACACTTATGGGGGTTATCTTAAAAGTCTCAAAGCTTGTTTTAAGATTCTTTCACTTGGGGTGTCTTCGTTATGGAATGAAGCTGTGTGTGTGTGTGTGTGTGTGTGAGAGAGAGAGAGAGAGAGAGAGAGAGAGTAGAAGAGAAATCTTTGTTCAGAGAGGATGAAAATTAAATTCCAAATCCAAATTGCTGAAATAAATCAGTGCTCCCCTTTGCACTCACAAACTCGAAGCCTGCATACCTTCCATCCATTTAATTGTTGCTAAAAATTTAAACAGTTGAACAAAGAGTTTGGACACAGCTGCAAAGGCACAGAAACCAAACTGTGGGTACCTTTCCTATAATCAAGCCAGGGCAGTTGGCTTCATTTTAACCGACTACCCAGAATAAGTGAGACCCTAGCACAAGACACTGTGGCATGCACAGGCACACAGGTCAT